GGTGCGGTACCGGGTGTAAGGCCTGGGCGTGGGTCTCGGTGCCTGTTTGCTTGGACACTGTCGTGCTGCCATGGTAACAATGAATGATCTGGTTGACGTTTTCACGATCAGTGATCCCTTTCTCATGCACCCGTCACCTGTCTGTACCCAATGAGGGGCTGGTGCAGGTGTCGGGGAAATGAGACTGCCCGATGGTTTATGGCTGGCTTATGTACAGCTAAACCAGGCCTCTATGCTGCAGATGTGCCCAACCCTGAGGAGACCTGGGAGTTGTCAGCAGACAACAGCTCCTCAGGCTGGTGCCCCAGACGAGGCCCTTCCCCAGGAGCAGGTAAGGGGCGCTGGCTCGACCCTTTCCCACAGCAGGAGGCACCGTCCCTCAGTGGAGAAATCTCTGCCGCAAAATTTTAGTGGGGCCAGGGCTCCAACAGATCAGCGGTTCTTGTTCTCCGGTGCCCTTGGGAGCATTTCACATGGCCTGGAGAAGATGGACCTTATATTTCCTTTTCCCCTCCCTTAACATGTGAATGCTGACACAGCCCCTACATCCCTCCAGCTTCTTTCCCAGGGAGTGATGTCCCTGCAGGCTCTGACGTGGTGTGATCACCACCTGACACTGGGACACAGTTATTGGGGCTCATCTCCGGGCTCATCTCCAGCCTCATGCCTGTGGAGGTCTGTTAGCTGTGTGACTTTGAGACTTCCTTCTGCCCCTTCTTTCTCACACTGAAGCCTCCACCTTGCTTACTCCAAGGCCAGACAAGGAGGTGAGCAGGGCTTCCCCCATGCCAGCAGCACCAGGACTAGCCTGTGCACTCTCTTCCCCACCCGCAGGTGCTGGGACCCTGAGCAGAGTGGCGCAGCAGCTTCCTGAGGAGGGGCCTGGAAACCTGGAACTGCAGAGGACTTCCCCAGGGAGACCGGAGGAGAGGAGCTCCCGGACACCTGAGCCGGGCCAAGTGCAGAGGGGGCAGGGCAGGCCTCCAGAGCAGGAGGAGAGCTGGGAGGTGAGCAGGGCACCCGGTTGAGTCGTGGGTGGGAGAAGACCTGGGGCAGAGCCCAGGAGGTGCCAGGGTTGCAGTAAGGAATCTGTGGAGTGGAGAGTCCTGAAGAGAGACAAGCCTGTGGTGATGGAGCTGCAAACACACCAAGCTGCATTAGGAGGGTCTTCCTCCCAAGTGCAGGGAGCCAGGGGTGCTGGCATGGGAAGGCCTGGTCAGGGTGCGTGGAGCTGGGGCTCCTGCCTCTAAAAGTGGTGCCCAGGCTGCATCCAGGGGCTGAGCAAACGGAACGGTTTTATCCCAGCTCAGCACGACACCTGAGCTCCTGTGTCCACAGCTGCATCCACAGCACAGGTCAGCTGAATCCTGGGGAATTTTGCACCCCTACGTGCCCTGTCTCAGCCTGCGACTAGTTGTAGCACTGAGTGATCCCAGCCAGGGCTGTGGGGGCTGGAGGCAGGTGGGACGGGAGACACTGATGGTGTAATGCTTGGTACTGCAGCTCCCGGAGGTGTTTGAGGATGTGGCCGTGTATTTCTCACGGAAGGAGTGGGAGCTGCTGGAAGATGAAGACAAGGTGCTTTACCGGGATCAGATGCTGAAGAATTACCAAGCCCTCGTTTCCCTGGGTAAGGTTCTGGTTCTTGCTTCTTCTGTACGAGCTCTGAAGTTTATTGCCTTCTCCCTGTGTTTCAGCAGTCTTGTCCTCATGCAGTTTTTGGGCTGGGGTTTTAATTTCCCTTCCTCCCCACTGCTCTGCCAGTGATCATGCCTGTCTCACATTTCATAGTGATTAATCCTACTTCATTTCATCCAGGCACCTTCACTTGAGTCTTCCCCACTGTTGTAACTCCTGGTGCTTCCATATGCATCTGTTTCTGGGCATCATGATCTCTCTTTGCCCTCTCAGCGTGTTCATACCGACTCCAACTCCTTGCACATAAGTGCACTAAGAGCTGTTTCCAGGGAATGGTTCTCATTTCCTCCCTCTCTTGCCTAGCGTTTCCTGTCCAAACACATTCATCAATCCAGTGTGCTCCGTTCTGTGATGCCTAAATTCCCTTTCTCCTCCTTTGGTTATGACCGAGAAGAAGCTAACAGAAGTCTTATCCACCTCTGGTGCTACAACACATGGATGATGCATTTCTACATGTCCGTCTCTTGGGACATATGTACAGGTGATGGACCCTAGGTATTTCTGTCATGGGGTCACTAAAAGCTTCTGTCGACCATCCTTCCTAACATCTTCATCTCCATAGACCAGAGACTTTGGCTTTGCTGTATTTATGTTAAGACCTGTGCCCTCAAGCTCGCTCTGCCAGTCTCAAATTTTTTCTTCCTCTCCTCCTCAAATCCCTCTGCAGATCACAAGCCCATCATGGTGAGAAGAAGAAGTGGGCTATGTGCAGGGCGTAGTGCAAACCAGTCTTCATTTCCAGAGGGTGTCTAATACAGGGCCTTTTTTTGGCGTGTGTGTAGTGTCCAGGTACTTTACTTTTGACTAGGCCAGTTTTCTTTTGTGATACTTTCTTTCCCCTCCATTTCCCCCAGAGGATTTCCATAAGGAAGTGATCGAATGATTTCTCTAGCTCCACAAAGACCTTCTAGACTTTTTCTACATCATAGGCTTTCTCATGCTGTGCCACGTGTGTCTTTCTGCCTTCTTTTGTCCAGATCCAACTTTGTGTTCCCGGCAAACCCTGTAGTATTTGACTTCCTGGCAAACCTGTGCACTCATCTCCCTGCTGGGCTGATCCTTTCATTGGAGGGCACGACTGCTCAGTTGTTGCTACAGTTGTTATAAAATGATCCCTTCCCGTGACCTTGTGATGCTGAATTACCCTCTCTCCCATAAAAAAGTCTCATTGTCAGCCACCTGTCACAGATTCTTTTCACTGCCACCAGTCCTCACTTGAAATCTTTCCTGAGAAGTAACTTCTTTCCACTCCCTTGCCTGGAATACCACCAATCAGATTAATGTTTTCCATCCGTAAGTGTGTCCAATGTCTCTTCATTTTGGTACTTTGAAAACAGCAAATGCTTTATCTTTCTGCTCCCTAGTGCATCACAGATCATTGCGTCACCACAACTGTCCATCATGAGTCCGTCAGTATAATGCCCTTTCTATACCAGGAGTGGTTGGTGCTTTGTTTCCTGTGACCATCCCACCACTGCCTGGGTGACCAGAAGCATCATCTAATGAAGGCTTCTTTCTGCAGCACCTTCTCTTCCATCCTAAATGCCCTTCTTCCCTTGTCCAACAAGCTGTAGTAGAAACCGTGAGTTCATTGCATCCATTCCCCCACCGCGGTGGGTTATTCTGCATCCAGTACCGAGTCACGAGCCGCCTGTAACTACCACCCTAAACAGGTTATGGAGGTCCCCCACCTGACTTAATCTGCCGCATCCAGCGAGGAGAGGTGGAGCTGTGGGTCTGTGATGATGAGAATGGTGGAGATACCTCAAGGTTGGAGGACCTGCTGCCAGGTGAGTGTGGCTGTGCCCTCCCCTGACTCCCGTCTCGGAAATGCTCCATGCCCAGCATGCCAGGGGCACCTGGAAACTGCAGACCTGCTCTGTGCTGCCATTCCCGGATGCTGACCTCAAATACAGTACATAATGCTGCAATGTTTTAAGGCAGGTGTTGTTCCCCGTCTCTGAAATTCACTGATGCGAAGACAAGCAATGTTCTCTGCTAGGGGACAATCAAGTTTCCTGTCTTCCTTTTTTTTTTAATGTTTAGATGTGGTTTCCCTGGGATGCCATGATCTTAATATCCCGTGTTCACTCAGTAATGCAGGAACTCATTTCCCAAGGTAGTCCTATCTCTCCCACCCTCTCCCAGCCCATGATGGGATTGGTAGTCCCCCATGGACATCAGCCTGGTATGCAGAGGCTCTGTAGTCGTTACTTGTAGACACAGAGGAAATTGAGGTTCTTGCTGGCTCCTCCTCCTCATGTTGACCTGATACCCAGGAAGTGTTTCATCATGGTCTCAGGCTGCATTAAATGGCTCCATGGCATGGGTGGGATTGAGTGTTGTGTGGGGAAGTGAATCCCCTGTGGTTTGCACAAGAATCACCCCTTTACTGTTTCATCTCTGTGGCCCTGAGTGTCACAAAACCTGAGACTCAGCACCAGAGTCCAGGTTGAGGTTTATGCCATGGCCTTAGGCCTGTTGCAGGCTCCTGTGACATGCTGACCACCTCGGACCCACCAGCAGTACAAAGCACCATGGGTTCATTTCCTGCGCTGACCTTGCCCTGGAAGCAGGCAGGAAGCACACTCCTCTCAGAAGAGAGAGCCACAGCTTTAAGTCCTCTTCCTCCACGGCCTTGTAGAGCATGAAGCCTTTCAGGCACTGTCCTAATGCACGTGTCCCACGTGTGCTTTTCTCAGCAGGGCCTGAGGTGATGGGGCCGAGACCTGGGCCATGAACTCTGAGAGTCTTGTTTTCAACTCCAGCAAGTAGGGCACATTGGCCTGGCACAGAGACTTGCCCCTGCTTCGTGCCAAGCACTTGGGGTTTGACAGGAAGACTTTGATTTCTTGAGGGAACACAAGTGCCAAGGTCCAGGCCTGATCTGAGGCCCTTCCCAGTAGAAGGAATAGCAGTGCTTGCCCCTGGCCGCAGGGTAGGGACCAATCTGGGGTTTCTCTTCCCCACACAGGAGGTGCCTGGCTGCTGCACAGAGCTGAGAAGCAGCCTCCTGCGGAAGGGCCTGCAGACCTGGAGCCAGCATGGACTTCCCCAGGGAGTTTGGGCGAGATGGGCACCCCGAGACCTGAGAAGATGAGGCATACTGGCAAGAAGCCCCATGTATGTGCCAAGTGTGGGAAGAGCTTCACCTGGTCCTCACACCTGATCCGGCACCACTTCACGCACACAGGGGAGAAGCCACATCGGTGCTCAGAGTGTGGGAAGAGATTCACCCGCTCCTCTGACCTGGCTCGGCACCAGCGCACCCACGTGGAAGAGAAGGCATATCCGTGCTTGGAGTGTGGGAAGAGATTTCCTCAATCTTCCCATCTAGGCAAACCCCAGCTTTTCCGCACAGGGGAGAAGGCATATCGGTGCTCAGAATATGCAAAGAGCTTCATTTGTTCCTCTGACCAGGCCCAACACCAATGCATCCACACAGGGGAGAAGCCGCATCAGTGCTCAGAGTGTGGGAAGAGCTTCACCCGCTCCTCCAACCTGTTCCGGCACCAGGTGATCCACACAGGGGAGAAGCCACATTGGTGCTCTGTGTGTGGAAAGAGCTTCACCCAGTCCTCCCACCTGATCCGGCACCAGTTAATCCACAGATGGGAGAAGCCAGGGTGGTGTTTCGAGTGTGGGGAGAGCTTCCTTTCCGCCTCTGACCTGGCCCGACACAAGCGCATCCACACAGGGGAGAAGCCACATCAGTGCTCCGAGTGTGGGAAGAGCTTCACCTACTCCTCCAGCCTGGTTCAGCACCAGATGATCCACACAGGGGAGAAGCCACATCGGTGCTCAGAGTGTGGAAAGAGCTTCAACCGCTCCTCCAACCTAGTCCAGCACAAGATGATCCACACAGGGGAGAAGCCACATCGGTGCTTAGAGTGTGGGAAGAGCTTCACCCGCTCCTCTCACCTGACCCAGCATTGGTTCATCCACACCCGGAAGCATCCATAGTTTTGGGGCAATGCAGGAAAGTGTTTGGGTATGCCCACCTGCTCAATGCCCACCAGTGGCTGCCTTGAGCCAAGCAGCCTCGTGCTGGTGGACTGCAGCAAGAGTTCACCCAGCCTTTGACCCTTCTATGGACCTGCAGACCCCACAGGAGCCAGAGGCTGGCCCCAAGATTTGGTGATGGAAGGGGCTAAGAGGAAATACCTGATGATCCACACAGGGGAGAAGCCATATCGGTGCTTACAGTGTGGGAAGAGCTTCACCTGCTCGTCACACCTGGTCCAGCACCAGATGATCCACACAGGGGAGAAGCCACATCAGTGCTCCGAGTGTGGGAAGAGCTTCACCCGCTCCTCCCACCTGGTTCACCACCAGATGATCCACACAGGGGAGAAGCCACATCAGTGCTCAGAGTGTGGGAAGAGCTTCATCCAGTCCTCCCACCTGACCCAGCATCGGTTAAT